CCCCCACGCACACACGCACACACGCACAGACACTCCTCGAATATAGAGGGGGGAAAAAACCCATAGCGAACACAAAGCAGACAAATGTACAGTATTATAGAACGCACTTTCAAAGTCATGTTTACAACTCTCGGAATATTGGAACAAAACAGAATGAAAACAATATCAACAACACTTACCAAAGGAAAACAAATCTGAACAAAACGAAAACAACCTGAAACTAAAATTTCTTTCCCTTTTCACGTTCATCTGCCCGAAAAGCATCCAGCTATTTTCCCCCTCCTCTGTTGCCTTTATGAACATGCGTCTCTTTGATTCCATTTTTTTTTTTATTTTCTCAGTAACGGAAGTCTTCTGGGCGCTTCAGCAGAGCCAAGCTAAAAGTTCTCAACTGTAAATCTCGCAGAGAACTAAGGAGAAATAATCATACATTTTCTCATATGTCCCCCTAATTACCCCGTCACTCCAAATCAGTTATCCCCCTTACTTCTGACGGCTCTCGCTTCAGCCTCCCAAACAAACTCCGAAACCATCACGACGTCGCCATTTTCCTATTGAACTCCGAGCTTCCACAGCCTCCCTTTTCCCTCACTAGGGGGAGAATTTGAAACAGCTCCCTTGGGGCTACGGAACTGGCCCCGTGAAATACAGAACCTCTGTGGGCAGGGGGTTGTCATTACGGCGATTATCCTCTTAATTTTCCTCTAATGCGTCGCTCTCTCCAGTCTTTGCTTTCCCCCGCCGTCTGCGCTGCTTTGTGTCCCTTCGTCCTCTTTGACTTTCGCTGTTTTTCTCACCACGAGATCAGCTTTCCGGCTCGCAAAGGTGGAAAAGTAAATTATCGACGAGGAAAGGGGGAAAGGAGAGGGAAATTGTCTCGCTGTTTGTCCTGTCATTTTGAGTTACACAGAATTTTCTCCATCGCCCACCACCGCTCGCTTTTTTTCCTCTTCCCCACCATCACCTCCCCGTCCTCCACACTTTTCAATTTCACCCCTGATCTTCCTTTCTTCCTGAACCCCCTTCTCCGTCGTCTTCTCTCTCTCTCTCTCTCTTTCTCTCTCTCTCTCTCTCTCTCT